TGGAAGCATAAGAGGAACTCAGTTGATGGCTGGAAGAGGACCATATGTAAAGCACCAGAAAGAATATAAGCAGCCTCTAGGAACAAAGATCAAACTGCACCTGATAGCCAGTGAGGAAACACGGGGCTCAGTCATATGGTCACAAGGGAATGGATTCTATGAAAACCTGAATAATCTTGGAAGCAGCATCTTCCCAGAGCCTTCTAATAAGACTCTGTGGGCCCACATTTACTTCAGTCTTAATGAAATCCAGGGCAGAGAAATTAGCCAAGCCAATCCCGGCTTCTGACTTAAAGAACGTGAGATAATAAATTTACATTATTTTAAGTTGCTAAAAGTTTGTGAAAATTTGTTTTTGACACCAAGAGGAAACTAACACATTATCAATACTGGAAACATTAGACAGTATTTGTAATTCAATTTAAATACATCATACATTCTTACATATCTGTTTACCTGTATTCCTTTAAGCAAACTCAGTGGTCTACATTTCATTATTCTACCTTTGTCCTGATGTTGATTTTATGGCTTATTTTTCCTTCAATTCTGAATTTAGGAATGTTTGTATGTTTCCATTTGTTAATTATTTTTATAAGCCCTCTGCAAATCCATGACAATGAAGGGCAAAACACAGAAAAAAACCCACCAGGGCCTTGGTCATTTTCTTCTGTTCTTAGGAAATCGCCAGCATTTTTAGTCTACTGTCTTTTCTTGTTCTGAACATCTGACAATAGAGCTCTGATTAAGAATAAAGGAGACAAGGGCGCCTGGGTGGCTCAGTTGTTGAGCGTCTGCCTTCGGCTCAGGTCATGATCCCAGAGTCCTGGGATCAAACCCCGCGTCGGGCTCCCTGCTCCGCAGGAGGCCTGCTTCTCCCTCTCCCACTCCCCCTGCTTGTGTTCCCTCTCTCTCTGTCTCTGTCAAATGAATAAATAAAATCTTAAAAAAAGAAAAAAAAGAATAAAGGAGACATTTCAATGACAGGCTAGCTTTTAGAGATTTGACAATTACTCAACACCCTTCTTTTCATGAAGGATGTTTCTTTTTTTTTTAGAGAGAGCATGTGAGTGCGGGGGGTGGGGGGCAAGGGGAGGAGCAGAGGGAGAGAATCCCAAGCAGACTCAACGCTCAGTGTGGAGCCCGATATGGGACTCAGTCCCACGACCCTGAGATCATGATCCAAGCCGAAATCAAGAGTTGGATTCTCAACTGACTGAGCCACCCAGGTGCCCCATGAAGGATGAATTCTTAAAATCACAAAGCTGGGGTTAGAAAATGGAGCCCTCAGAGAGCAGACTAATCAGTCCATACACCAACTAGGAATTTCTAGTCTTCTACCTTCACCCCTAAAACACAGATACAAACACAGAGAAAGCCAAACCTGGAGTTAACTGCTCCCCTGTACAGAACCAGCACTAGGCAACTTGTTGTGGGTTAGCTGATTCTAGACTTCTCTGAGGTCTGGCAGGTTCTAAAATCTAGAGACCCAAATTCTAGACTGGAAAGCAAGATGAAGTGGGTGGAATCTGTAAATCTGTAGAGATTGTGTTGTAGGTTCTAAAGCATGTAAATCGAATTTCTTTCTGCTGAAATCATCTTCCCATTCATAACAATACTATTTCAAAGTTGCCTGCTTAGTCTTCAAGGCACTGCATGGCAGACATTTTTCTAGAAGTTCTCTGTTCGTGGTGACAGAAAGAGGAGGCCAGGACAAGACACCCCATAGAACACACGGGCACCCAAAGTTTTTCCTGGGGACCAGGAGGGGAAGGGATGGGATAAGGGGCAGAGTAAGGTTCAGTAGGACCCACAATCAAATTCCTGTCCCAAGCTCTCAAAACAGGGTCCATCTAGCCTCCTAGAGCAGGAGGAATGAGGACAAATGCCTCCCGTACAACAAAGGTGCTCTGTAGAGCCATCTCCTGCCCTAGCCACACAGGACAGACCTACCAAGATCTGACTTTGTCCAAGCTGAGTCACAGGATGAGCTTGGAATTGACCCGTGGAAAGCCAATTCCCTCACATGCTGCATATAGAAGTCGCAGACATCTTTGATAAGGTCTGACAGGCACCCTCTTCAATAGCCACTTCAATCCAGGCAGAATTCTCATGTGAAGAAAAATAGACAAAGGCAGATGAACTGCATGTTCCAGAACCTCTGTGGCAGCCAAATGTCCAAGAAGCACTAGCCACTAACTAGGAAGACAATGTATCCCAAACTGCACCTCCCAGAATTCTGTGGCTCAGCACAGGTGCCTCAGTTCCCAGAAAAACCAAAGAGGGATTAGACAGAGACCAAACTACACTCCCCAAATTCAGCTGGGCTTGGGTCTCTTCCTCATGGGATCTGGTCCTCACTGATGGAAATTACCTCCTTCTGATCTCTTCCTGGGAGGCTGAACAACCTGGGGGTGGGGACTCTAGTGACTAGACTGGCCTCATCTACCCCTTTGCTCACGTGGAGAGAAACCCCACAGTAATTTTTATAATCCATTTGATACAACCTTCTTAAGTATACAGAATATTTATAATAGCTGTTTTTAACATCATTTTCTGTTAATTCTGTCACCCATGTCAATTCTGGGTCTCTATTGACTTTTCTTCATGTTTATAGATCCTAATTTCCTGTTTTGCTTTTGCATACCTGGGTAGGTTTTGACTAGATGCCAGACATTGTGATTTTGACACTGTTGGTTTTCTTGGTTGTTGGATTGCTTTCTATTCTTTAAATAATACTGGGCTTAAAGTTAAACTACTTGGGAAGCAGTTAAACTACTTGGAAACAGTTTGGTTTTATAGTAGCTTTGAGGCACCAAAATTCACCATTTCATGTGCAAAATGCACTTTTCCCTTAGGACTGAGAATGAGACAAACTGTCCACCCAACATACTAGAGAACCTCACAGTGCAATAAGAAAAATAATAGGCTTAAAGATCAGAAAAGAATACTGTTGCTATTGGCAGACAACAGGATTGTGTATAAAGAAAACCCAAGAAAGCCTACAGAAAACTACTAAAACTTATGAATGAATCTACCAAATTCACTTTGTTTTGTCAGGAGGGCTCAGAGCAGCCGTTACTCGAGTCAATTTGAGCGACCCCCCCACTGAAGCACTATTTTTCTGAAGATCCACTTTGATTTTCCAAATATTGGGAGGGGTTTCCATTCCAACTGGTGGAAACAAATTATTCCCAACCTGTGCAAATTCCAAGGATGGTTCTGCCTGTTCCTTTCCAGTGGTTCTTTCTCCAGCCCAGGGAGCTTCCTCACATATATGTGCTGATCACAACTTCAAATCATGTGGAGGAATGTGCTCATTCTGGGTGCAGCTTTCTCCTCTCCTGTAACCTGCCCCATAAATTTGAGCCACCTTGAATTCTCCAAACCCTGAACTCTGCCTCAGTTTGGAAAGACTGCCAGGATTTGATTGGATTCCCTCTCCCTATGCTACAGAATGGAAACTCTCTCCAGGCTGTAAGCTGGAGGTAGTCATAAGGCTCCCTTCATTTGTTTCCTTTCTCTCGAGTTAGCTGTGCTGATCTCCCTACTACCCAATGTCTGAAAACAGGCCATTCATATATTTTGTCTATTTTTTTTTGTTATTTAATGAGAGTATATACATTAAACATTTACTGTTGAAGAAAAAAGGTTGTTGGAATTGGCTGTGAAGAATTCTGTTACTTAGGTGCATTATGGAATATGCATTCTATACTCAGAATAGGATATGTTCATTTATACAATTTCAGAATAGATACAAATACATTTGGCAGCATTTGCAGCACATAAAACTCATGTTCCTTTAGGGCATTTATGAGTTCCAGTGTTCATCATTTGATTTACATATTTCAATAGTATCCCATGCTTGTCACATCTAATGACACAGGCGTAAGATTCCCTGATTGTAGGAAAAAAGTTACTGTATTTGGACCATAATTATCAAAGATAATTACTACTCTGTGAACACGCTTCTCTACATTTATTTAAAGGCTAGGTAGGAATTTACTGTAGTAGTAAGTCTCCGAAATCTAATGTTTTTGTGGTAGACAGAATGGCCTCCCAAAGATGTTCATGTCCTAATCCCCAGAACCTGTAAATATATTACATTACATGGCAAAAGGCATTTAAAGTAAAAGATGCAATTAGGTATTTTAGGGCCATATGAATTGTTTCTAGAGTTTCACAGCCTCACAGAGGAGAACTGTGCCTCAGGACAAATCATACCCAGAGCCTCACCCAATACTTGATTTAGAGCTTTTGAGCCGAGAAGATTTAGATGAATTTTAGACTTTGAGTTGGTACTATAATAGGTTGAGACATTTGGTGGTGCTGAGAGAGAGTGAATGTATTTTCATGTAGTATGGACAAATAATTGGGTGCCAGAGGGTGTTCTGAAGGAAGCAGAATAATGGCCCCCCAAAGATGTCCACATTCTAATCTCCAGGACCTGGGAATATTTCATAGTATAAGGGGGAATCAAGGTAGTAGGTGGAGTTAAGGTTGCTAATTAGCTGATTTTAAGATAGGGAGGTTATCCTGGATTATCTGGATGGGCCCAATATAGTCACAGAGGTCCTTAAATGTAGGAGAGGGAGGCAGGAGTTCAGTGTCAGAGTGATGGAAGAGTTGACTGGCCATTGCTGGCTTTGAAGGTGGAAGGGGTCTGCAAACCACAAATTCAGGCAACTTCTAGCAGCTGGAAGGACAAAGAAAAACAGCTTCTCCCTGCAGCCTCCAAAAAGAAATGCAGCCCTGTGACCCCTTTGTCTAGCAAGATGCATTTCAGACTTCAGACCTCCAGAGCTATAATATTGTGTTGTTTTAAGCCACCAAATGTATGGTAATTTGTTACAGCAGCCATAAGAGACTAATAAAGTTGTATCTCCGTATTCATTATATTCATAGGTTTTTGCTACATAATGCAATTCCTAGTGCCCAAGATTTCATTTATTAGAAAAGTCTTTCCCAGATTCCCAAGGTATAAAATTGTGACACATTAGTTAGTTTGGCAATAGAATTCCTATTTTAGAATTTCCATCTTTTATTGTGTTCAGGGGTTTCTCCTATGAGTTCTTCCACATTTTACTGAAAATGTTGTCCATATTCAGTGTCTCTAGCGGTATCTTTCTACACTTCTCTGATGTGATGAGGTAGAACTTATCACTGAAAACATCATCACATTCTTTCCTAACGTTCTGGTCCTGTGGGAATTCTTTGATACCAATGGAGATATCACCTCCAGGAAAAGGCTTCCCCACAATAGCTGCATTTCTGCCCAGTGGGATTTCATAGAAATTTAATAAGTCTAAATTCTCACAGACTTATTTATCCTCCACCACCACTGCATCCATAGCATTTATGTGCAAAATGAGCTCTGACATATAATGTGTGGAGGATTCTTGCTGAAGGCTTTTCTGGTATCAGATACATTTTGGTACCAGAGATTTTCTTTCCTACACAATGTCTGTAACATATAAGACATAATTTATTACTGAAGGTGTTGCCACATTCACTGCATTTGCAAGACTTATTCCCTGTGCAAATTCCCTATCATCTACTAAGGCCTGACTTCTTAGAAAAGGCTGTTCCACAAACACTACATTTCTACCCCCGAGGAACTCACTGAGGTTTAACAATGGTTGAGTTCCCAAAGAAGGTATTTCCACAGGCACTGTATTCATCTCGCTTTGCTCTTGTGCAAGTTCAGTGATGTATAAAGAGCTATGACTCCCTGAGGAAGGTTTCTCCACCTTCAGTGAATTTATAGCTTTCTCTCTTGTATGAGTTTTCTTATGTTTAATGAGAACTGACATGTGGGCAAAGGCTTTGCCACATTCACTGCATGCATATGGTCTCTCTCCAGTATGAGTTCGCTGATGCTGAATGAGCTTTGACTTGCTCCTGAAGGCTTTTTCGCAGTCACTGCATTCGTAAGGTTTCTCTCCCGTATGAATTCTCTGATGCTTGGTCAGGTCCGACTTAAAAAAGAAAGTTCTTCCACATTCACTGCATTTATAAGGCTTCTCTCCTGTGTGAAGTCTCTGATGTGCAATGAGGTATGCCTTCTGGGAGAAGGCTTTCCCACACACACCGCATCCATAGAGTTTTTCTCCTGTGTGAGATCGCTGATGTCTATTGAGCCGGCACTTCCGGCTGAAGGCTTTGCCACATTCACTGCATCCATAGGGTTTCTCTCCTGTATGAGTTCTCTGATGTACCATAAGCTGTGACTTTCTGGAGAAGGCTTTTCCACATTCATTACATTCATGGGGCTTCTCTCCAGTATGAGTTCTCTGGTGTTCAGTGAGCTGAATCTTCCTCATGAATGTTTTCCCACATTCATTGCATCCGTGCGGCTTCTCTCCTCTTTCAGTTCTCTGATGCCTAATGAGTTGTGCCTTCCTGGAGAAGACTTTCCCACACTCACTGCATTCATGTGGCTTCTCTTCTGTGTAAGTTTTTTGATGTTCATTGAACTGTGATTTAGTGCTTCTGGGTTTAATGCATCCAAGGCATTTAAGTCCAGGAAGAGTTGCACCCTCCTGGATGTAGACGGATGACTTCCCGCATCCACTAACCTCATCAGAATCCTCTCCTGCATATCTTCTATTCTGGGTAACAAAACCTAAATGTGATTTCAAACTTTTACAATGTGAGCCAAACTTATTGTGTCTTTGTGTTAAAGGAACAAGACTTTTGCATAAATCGAAATTGTTTCCAAGTGCATAACTTTGCTGGTATCTTTCCAAAGTTTTACTCTCGTTTTGGTTTTCTGGGTGCCACTGCATATGGTCAATCTCCCATATTTCTTCTAGGAAAAAGAACAATGAAAACATCCATGATAACTTTAGGGGGGAAAATGTAAAAAAAAAAAAACAAATTTGCCATGGTTTGGGCTAGCTCTTTATAAGATCCCTAAGAGAAATATACCCTATGCTCTGTGAAAAAAGACAATATTATAAAACAGCAAAGGGAAGAACAGCTACTTTAGAAACAACACTGGATAGCCTACAATGAATAAATATAACTTGGGATTCTTTCCAAATAGGACCTTGCAAAATGGAGACAGAAGTAAAAATAGAACCACACAGTGACTGGAATAGAACAAAACAAGAGGGAGGGGATGGATCCATTCATCCAACAAATACTGAACGTGCTGGTGTTTAAGAATATATTACAATATGATATTTGAATTAGAATAATATATTAGAATATTAGAATTAGAATATATCAGTCACACTAAGGCAACTTATTTAATTTGTCTCCATGGAGCTGTTATTCTAGTAACGAGAGAGAGCAAGATGGGGGGAAGAGGGGATCAACGAGTAACCAAAGAAATAAAAGAATTACAGATAGTGCAAAATAGTATGTATGAAGGAGATGACAGAGTAGTGGTAGGTTAATCTTAGATAAAATAGTCATCCTTGAGACAAGGCAAGTTAGGGTGACATCATAGGATTAGAATGAGCAATGTTATGCAGATAACTCGATGAGGAACATTCCAAGAAGGAACACCCAATGCAAAAACCCAGAGGCAGAAAAATTTAGGCATAATCAAGAAACATAAAAAAAAGGCTGGTGTACCTGGACTATCCTGAGCTTGAGTGAAGTGGAAATAGCTAAGTTTGAAAAGGGTGGAAGAACTGAGAAGATATAGATGATGTAGGAAGACTTTGTTAGAAATTAGGTTTTATGCTAAGAGCAATGGCCATAAGCCACTGAACATTTTTCGGAAGGAATACAATCCATTCTGAATTAGTATTTCCCAAAATACCAATAATCACACAGCTGTTGTATGAAAAATGAACTGGAGAGATTAAGTCGTTGAGAGAATACACAACAGGATACAGCAGAGTTCAGCAAGAGGTAACAGCAGCATCAGCTGACCACCATGGAGATGGAGAAACGTACAAGAACAAGGACACAGTACAGAGAAAGGAAAGACAATGACAGGAGGAAAAGATACGGCTCACTGTAAGAATGAATGCCGGAGGAAGAAAAGGGAATCATCAAGGATAGCTTCTCAGTATGTGGCTTACGTATCTGTGTAGCTGCTGGTGCCATTTAATAAGATGAGGAAGATTAGGGAGAGAGGTTTGACATTTGTGGGGACTCAAGTGCTCCATTTTGAGGGACACATCAGGCTTGAGATAATATATACATTCATGTACAAATATGAAGTATCCGGTTAGATCTATGAGTGCGGAGAAAGTTCTAGACTTCAGATAACATTTTTTTTTTAAGTGGGCACAGAGCCCAATGCAGGGCTTGACCTCACAATCCTGAGATCAAGACCTGAGCTGAAATCAAGAGTCAGATGCTTAATCAACTTAATCACCCAGGTGCCCCTTCAGATAACAATTTTAAGTCATCAGTATATAAACAGTACTTAAATATTTTGACTACACAGAATCAGGTGAGATAATGTAGGAAGAATGGACAGAGAAAGGGGAAGGCCCGGAACAAGAATTTCATGGATTCCAAGTCTTAAGAGTTTTGGGAGAGGAATATGCAAAGAGAATTTGAAAATCCCATCCAGAGACATCAAACAAATGCTGATCAAACATAAACAATGTGGGTTTTCATAACAAAGGGCTGGAATCAGAAAATCAGAAAGTAGGACCTACAGCATCTCATCCCAAGATTACTGAGGTAAAATATTCAACAACTGCCTTGTTACTAAACCTTTCCCCTTTCATTCTACCTGCACACCAAAACTAACTTACATAAAACACCAATCACCTATTTAGACTAATACTGTAGTCAACACTTCAATTTTCTACGTAAAAATGATACAACCTCACCCAGTCCAATATACCCAGACACATGTATGTCCATCTAGAATTTAAAAATAGATCCTTAGGGGCACCTGAGTGGCTCAGTCAGTTAAGTGTCCAACTCTTGATTTCAGCTCAGGTTATGATCTCAGGGTTGTGAGATCAAGCCCCACATCTGGCTCGGCACTGAGTGTGCAGGCTGCTGAAGACTCTCTTTCTCTCTCCCTCTCCCTCTGCCCCCCACCCTGCTCATGCGTGTGCACATTCTCTAATAAAAAAAAAAGAAAAGGTCCTTGTGCCATCTGCCCTTGTCCCAGAGAAGAGTACAGTTGTAGTGAATAGTGGAAACATCACCTTCTCCAATGAGTTTAATCATACTATAACTGCGTACTATGCTGTTCAATAAAATTTTCTGCAATGATGGGAATGTTCTGTATCTGTGTTTCCTAATATGGTACCCACTAGCCGCGTGTGGCTATTGAGCACTTGAATGTGGGTGACCAGAGTGACAGTGGAACTGAATTTGTAATTTTACTTAATGTTAATTAAACTTAGGTAGCCACATGTGGCCAGAGGTCAATACAATGGACAGCACAGATAGAGGTCGTCTGTATCCGTATAAACCATATCCATATTTGCCATTATAATCTACTTGATATACTCATCCCCAAATTTTCTTCTTTCAGCTAATGCCACATTCTTCCTTAATCTCTGTTCCTACATCATCTGTCACCCACCAATTAAGAGATTCATTCCCCATCCAGGATCAAAACATCGACCTGCCTTATCTTCCATTTATCCTAGAACTCCAAGCTGTAACTTCCTATGTTTCAATGCTACTCCCTAGCTATCAAGCAAGACTCAAGCAAGCTATCAAGCAAGACTATCTACAGATAGCACAAAAAATTAAAACAGAACCAAATTCACACTTTCTAAGCCAATTATTAACACAAAGTCCACAATAATCAGCCATTTCCTTTCATATAGTCTCCTATAGGCCAAGGTACTAAGAATCTCCCACATTGCTTTCCTCAACTCTATCTCTAAAATCTTTTTACTAACCCACATCATTTTGACTTGAAATTCAACTATCTTTCTTGCAGAAATTACTTTATCATTCTTCCAAAAAGCACTTTAATTCTTTCTGTAACACTTTACCAAAGCTCAATTTTCTCTAATTTTGTAAAAACAGCCCCTGTCTATGCCTCATAATCAAATCCAAAAATTTTAATGGGACTTTGACACTTGGAACATATTCTGTCCTTCATTAGATCCAACTCTTTTAGAGTGCAGTAGGGTGAGGCAGTTCTTCAACTACACGGATCAAAGCACAGCTGGCCTAGTTAAGTTTTTCCAAGCTCATATGCTCAGGGCACTCCCCATATCTAGTAGATTAGAAACCAAATCTCCAAAGACAAAGCCTGTGGTTTGAAAAAGTTCCCATGTAGTTTACACACATCCCTGATTTAAAAACAAAATTTAAAAAGAAAACAAAACAAAATAAGACCTACTTTCAAGACGTGAGGAACAAACAGATGCAAATGATGCTGTCCGTGAATGATTATGTAGTCTACATGCAGCAAGGAAGACTAACATAGAGGCCTTTTCTCTATATGGAAAAAGAAGCCTCATACCCACCATAAAACAATACGATAAAACATGTGATCATGACTGAGTCAGTGCAGTGTAGACACAAAGTACAGAAAAATTAGAAAAGAGGGAGTTCCAAGTGTGCACTGGAACTTGTGGAGATAAGAAGAGATCAAGGTGAAGGAAGGCGGTAACTGGCCGTAAAAATGCAACACAATCAAATGCACAGATGCCAGTCCTCAGCTTACTGGACATTATATGACCTGTAGCTTTCAATAAAATATATCACTTCCTCCTCTTTGGAATAAGTTTGTCACTTGTTTCTGGGACATTTTCTGACTCTCCTCCTACCATAGCCCCCAGACTTCTCACTCTATCCAGCTGGGTTCTTATCTTCTCAACCTCTAAATGTATGTGGACCTCTTGTTTTTTTAACCAGTTCTCACTCCTCCTGTTTTCTCATCAAGTTCCACCACTTCAATGCCCCCTGCCCACAGAGGAATGCAGCCATACCATTAAAAGGGACTCACTGAACATGTGAAGACAGCCAATGTGTGTAGCAACAGGTGCAATGCAAGACTAAATGATCACAGCCTACTCCAAGGTGGGAATTGAGAGTGTGCAATTCCCTAAGGCCTTCTCAAAACGATAAAATCTAATAGAAATAGCAGAGACTGTCAGAAATAATATAGAAAATTCAAGGCAACTCACAGGTAACTAAGCACCTAACGTGTACAGCAGCACAGCAGAACCTAAGTAAAATGCACTAGGAGTAAAAGGATTCACCAGGAGGAAAAATGATCTCAGGTTGCAACACAAAAGCTGAAGGAAAGAGGACTTTCCAGGATAATTATCCTCGGTGCCGGCAAAATATTGAATTAGAGGTCTGATCAGGCTACAGAAGGGGAGATGTCAACCTGGGAATAACTGTCAGAGTACAGAGAGCTTAACTCTTCAAATATATCTGAATAAACTCTATGACGGTGAAGACATTATCTGGGGGAAAGGAGGACCTCTGCTTTTGCATACAGGAAGGGGGACATCAAAGGGCAGCTGCCCTGGTGGCTGGCAACATACGGGATTACACTGCGGATTAGACTTAGTGGAAGAGGTCAATTTGGGACTCTCCAGCAGAGAACAGAGAGCTTAGGCCTTGAGAATGAATGAAACTTTTAATATGAGAATCAAGCAGAAGATTAAAAAAGAAAGAAAAACCCACAAAAACCCAGAACCTGGAAGTTGGGGAAGCAGAGGTTGAATAGATTGAGGTGCCCTAAGCGAAAAGGTACGTGTAGTTTTTTTTTGGTTTTTTTTTTTAAGATTTTATTTATTTATTTGACAGAGAGACACAGCAAGAGAGGGAACACAAGCAGGGGGAGTGGGAGGGGGAGAAGCAGGCTTCCCGCAGAGCAGGGAGCCCCATGCGGGGCTCGATCCCAGGACCCTGAGATCATGACCCGAGCCGAAGGCAGACGCCTAACAACTGAGCCACCCAGGCGCCCCAATACGTGTAGGTTTTATATGACCTCAGGTGAGGTGGGTTGTCAGGGAGGGATTTCAGCCCTTTTGAAAGGGGCAAGGATGTGCAGAAGATGAAAACTGTGCCAAGTGCAAAGCCATCTGTATGGGAGCAAGTCGGTGAGGAACAGGAGGCGGGAACACTGCAGAAAAGGGAAGGTAGGGGCGCCTGGGTGGCTCAGTCGTTAAGCGTCTGCCTTTGGCTCAGGTCATGATCCCAGGGTCTGGGATCGAGCCCTGCATTGGGCTCCCTGCTCCGCGGGGGGCCTGCTTCTCCCTCTCACACTTCCTCTGCTTGTGTTCCCTCTCTCACTGTCTCTCTCTGTCAAATAAATAAATAAAATCTTTAAAAAAAAAAAAAGGAAAGGTAGAAGACAGGCACAAGCTGGGCAGGAGGGAACCAGGTAAGCAATCTGGATCCTACATGAGCCAAGACTGTAATCAGATCTAGAAATGAGAAAAAAAGGGAAGACCTCAACCTTTAATAGCAGGCAAAGAACAGCCCGAATAAAGAAGAGCGATACAGAAAGGAGTTGCTCAGATTTTTGTGTCACCAACTGGTATAAGAAAAGTTCTCCAGGGCCACCTGGGTGGCTCAGTTGGTTGAGCATCTGCCTTCGGCTAGGGTCATGATCCTGGGGTCCTGGGATCGAGTCCCGCATCAGGTTCCCTGCTCAGTGGGGACCCTGCTAGTCCCTCTGCCTGCCACTCGCCCTGCTTGTGAGTGCTCTCTTTCTCTGACAAATAAATAAAATAAAATAATTTCAAAAAAAAAAAGTTCTCCACACAACACTTCCAAAGTGTTAACCTTTCACTGGCCCACTGGAGTTTTAGCGTCCTGTCTCCCCATTTTCTTGGTTTTCACTCACTCACCTTGACAGGTTTGACTCTGAGCTGCTCCCTCTACTATCCATGGTGGTTCTCCTTGCTCCAACTGGAAGACTGAATCTGGTTTGCTAGCTTGATAACCTGTAAAATGGGAAATCATTGAAAACTTGACACCAAGTATTTAAGCTTGGGGAATCTACGAAAACTGGAGAAAGTTTGTACATCATTTATACTTCAGTAAAGCAAAATCCTTTTTTTTTTTAATATATATATATTTTTTATTTATTTGTCAGAGAGAGAAGGAAAGAGCACAAACAGGGGGAGTGGCAGCCAGAGGGAGAAGCAGGTTCCCCACTGAGCAGGGAGCCCGATACGGGACTCGATCCCAGGACCCTGGGATCATGACCTGAGCTGAAGGTAGACGCCTAACCGATTGAGCCACCCAGGCATCCCAGTAAAGCAAAATCCTTTTCCTGGGGAAGGGAGAGCATATACACTCTAGTGCCAAAGAGGAGAATAAAAGTCTGTTCTCTACAATGTGTTAGTCCAAACCAGGAGATATTTCAGGGACACTACCGATTTTATTGAATGAGAAAGAAAAGGCAACAGATAATGCTGTCCTCACCCACTGACACCAGGTTCCTATAGTTCTCCAACATCACGTCCCGGTACAGGTCCTTCTGAGATGGAGCCAGTAACTGCCACTCCTCCCACGAGAAGCCCACAGCCACATCCTCAAATGATAATGGTGCCTGTAACAACAGAGGCCGATGCAATCTAAGGTGGAACAGATGATGCGGAAAAGAGGGACAGGAACACGTTCTAATCGTTTTCCCTTGATAAGTTATGCACCCTGTGGGTTATTTCACATACCACAGGACCATGTGTCTTAGTCCACTCAGGTTCCTATAACAAAATACCAGACTACATAGCTTATAAAAGCAGAAATTTATTTCTCACAGTTGTGGAAGCTGGGAAGTCCCAGATCAAGGAGCCAGCATGATTGCATTCTGGTGAGGGCCCACTTCCTGGTCCAAAGGCCCCACCTCCTAATACATCATCTTTGGGGGTTAAGATTCCAACATATGAATTTTGTGGGGACACAAACATTCAGACACCACCACCATGGAGTTCTACTAATTAGTTCTTCTTAGCCTAAAAGAGTACTAAAGTAATATTTGAAAAAAAAATACTTGCAGAAACAAAACAATGTGGAGGAAGAATGTTCATTATTTGTTTGTAACAGTGAAAAACTGGGGCGCCTGGGTGGCTCAGTTGGTTAAGCATCTGCCTTCGGCTCAGGTCATGATCCCAGAGTCCTGGGATCGAGCCCTGCATTGGGCTCCCTGCTCAGTGGGGAGCCTGCTTCTCCCTCTCTCTCTGCCTGCTGCACTCTGCCTACTTGTGTTCTCTCTGTCAAATAAATAAATAAAATCTTAAAAAAAAAATAGTAACAGTGAAAAACTATCCATATCTACACGTCCATCAAAAACAGACAAGGGGGTGCATGGGTGACTCAGTTGGTTAAGTGTCCGACTCTTGATTTCAGCTCAGGTCATGATCTCAGGGTCGTGAGATTGAGCCCTGAGTTGGGCTCCGCACTGGGCATGGATCCTGCTTAAGATTCTCTCTCCCTCTGCCTCTGCCCCTCCCCACTGCTTGTGTACATGCGTGCATGAGCTCTCTCTCTCTAAAAAATAAAATGGAAAACCTTAAAAAAAAAAAAAAAGCAGTGGCGCCTGGGTGGCTCAGTCGTTAAGCATCTGCCTTCGGCTCAGGTCATGATCCCAGGGTTCTCGGATCAAGCTCCGCATCGAGCTCCCTGCTCCGCGGGAAGCCTGCTTCTCCCTCTCCCACTCCTCCTGCTTGTGTTCCCTCTCTCGCTGTGTCTCTCTCTGTCAAATAAATAAATACAATCTTCAAAAAAAAAAAAAAAGCAGCTGAGGATATACTGCAGTACCTCCATGCTGTAATATACTATGCAAACGTTAAAATCAATTTAGTAGTAGGGCGCCTGGCTGGCTTAGTCGGTAGAGCATGACTCTTGATCTTGTAGTTATAAATTCAAGCCCCACATTACGTATAGAGATGACTTAAAAATAAAATCTTGAAAAAAAAAACAATTTGGTAGATGTAAACCTATTAATGCCAATGATCTTCAAGGTACTCTCTTAAATAAAAAAAAAATCAAGTCCCCAAGTTGTATATATAATATGATCCCAGACATACGAAAAAATCTTAATAATATATGCAATTATATATGTATAAGTATACATATTGATGCATATAAAAATGTGTATAAATATATTCTACCACATGTCAATTATACAAAGAGATTGACTGGAGACCCAAACTATTAACATCTGTTACCTCTTGGGCTGGAGGTTGGGCAGGAAGAGGTGAAAGGGGATATTCTCTTTTGGTGTAAATACTTCTTTTTGTTTCAATCTTTTACATGCAAATGTAGCCATGCATCATTTAAGTAATTAATAATACAAACACCAGACCAGGAATAATTGACTCTGTCTCCATTCTCTGAACCCACGGTTGAAAAGGTGTAAAGGGAGCATTGCCACTATCTGTACTCCAAGCTGTTATCAAAGAGCGGAACTTCCAGCTGTCTTCTGCCAAATGGCAGAATTCTTCTTCATGGAGGACCACTCAAAGGTCAAGCAGCCCATTCATTCTATTAAATAATTTAGGCTTTATTCCGGGGTCAAGTGTGGACTGCCAGAAGATTCTATTGTCCAGGTGCACTGCTTTTGAAGAATTTTGTCCAATCAAGTTCTGCTTTGGCATTATCCCCTTAGCTTACTCTGAAGAACACAATGAGAAAAAGCCAAAGGAAACATCTTATGCCTTTATTACATGACTGATATTGAGGACACTGTCTACCACAAAATCTCTGTGAAGAGCTAGGAAAAGAAATTTCTTAAGCACTAAGAGCAATGAAATTACTTTCCCTGAAGAACTGGTTTGCTTTCTCCTCACAGACACTACAAATCATGTAACTTTTCATGTTTTTCTTGTTATTACAGCTGCCAAGAAATGAGATACAAATTCAAAGCTAAGCCAGCCCATAAGATCTTACACAGTCATTTACCTTGGTTCCATCCTTAAGGGCTTTGTATGAATCTTATGACCCATATATCTTGCTTCCTAACTTGCCCAGATTTTAATATTATGGCCTAAACTTATTTTCTGACAGATCCTGATTTTTATCAACATATACTGTTTCATTTTATCAGACCGTTTTATTTTTTAAATTTTAAAAAGATTTTATTTATTAACTTTTTAAAAAGATTTTATTTATTTGACAGAGAGAGAGAGTACAACCAAGGGGAGAAGCAGGCAGAGGGAGAAGCAGGCTCCCCACTGAGCAAGGAGCCTTACACGGGGCTCTATCCCAGGACTCTGGGATCATGACCCGAGCTGAATGCAGACGCTTAATAGACTGAGCCACCCAGACACCCCCACACTGTGTTTTAGAAGCTTCCACAAATCCACTGGGAAACAAAGGACAAAAATAGGTAAAATAAGCCTTACCCAGGCCTTGGTCATGTTCTCCTGTTCTGAAGAAAGGGCTAGCAACTGCAGGATATGCTGTCTTCTGTCTGCTCCTGGCCTGCCTGGAAGTTATGGTCAGATATCTCAGGTCAGGCTGCTGCCAGAAATGATGACCTCCTAAGCCTGGGACCTCCTCCTTCTTCCAGTACTGATAATGTCTTATTCCTGCAGACTAGAACCTGTGGATTCAAGAGCAAATTCAACTGTAAGAGGATATGTACCTGGGACCCCAGCTTTCTCTTGCCATGCAGACTTACTCTAACAAAAGGCTCCAACATTCCCTCTGTCTCTTTAACACCAGGAATGCTTTTACATCATGGGGCCGTGCTCCATAAGAAGACATGGGATGGGCAAGAGGAATGCCCCCCCCCTTTTTTTGGCAAAGTTAGACTAGAATGGATGTGAAAGAGATAGGAAAAAAACCCACCTCATGATCTTGTCTGTAGCCAAGTTCTTACACAAATCAATTTTAGGAAAGATAATGGATACAAGTGGTGGCTCTGGAAACTGCCTTAAAACCACCTGTGCCCACACATTCCTAAAATTTCTGTTTATTGCACTGGAGCAATTATCCTATACGAAGACCAAGGGACTATAAAAATCATGAGCATCGTCTTATTTAATCCTAAATATTACTCTATAAGGTAAGCATGATCTCCATTTTAAAAATAAGTAAGCTGAGGCTTGATCAGGTGAAGTGTGCTGTCCATGTTAACATCCTCCCTAAGTAGCAATGTGGGAATCTGACTCCACATCTGCCTCTCTCCATTATGGCCTATTCCTTTTCCAATGGCCTCACAATACAATTTTTTTTCTTTCTCACGCACTTTGATAATTTTACTCCCTGGGGCGCCTGGGTGGCTCAGTCAGTTAAGTGTCCGACTCTTGATTTCAGCTCAGGTCATGATCTCAGGGTCCTGGGATTGAGCCCAGCATCGTTGGGCATCCTGCTCAGCGGGGAGTCTGCTTTTCTCTCTCTCTGCTCCTCCTCCCGCTTGTGTTCTCGCTCTCAAATAAATAAACCAAATCTTAAAAAAAAAAAAAAAAAAGAACTTTACTCCCTAGCACATCATACCATGGAGTGGCCATACGGTCATAGTTGCAAAAACAGAACCCCTGGAACTAGTTCTTGTAATATTTACTATGTAATATTTACACACCCAGCCAGCTGCTCCCACACAAGCCAGAATGCAAAGGCAGAGCCATCCTTGCCTCAGCAGCCGCAGGTCAGAGATCAGTCTCCCCAAGGGCCAAGCCCTGGAGCCATGCTAGAAACTCACACTCTGAGGACACCAACACCATGAAGTCAATTTGAATTTTGCTTCACCCTGCAAGGCAGCAAATTATTCTCAAATACTCTCTTGCTCTCTTGAATCCTCCATACCCAGAGAGCTCATCTCTGACCCATTCTCTGGCCAACTGGTAAACACAGTAAACAAGGATACCTACCACCCCCACGTCTAATCCTGACAATGCTTTATCCCAGTCTTGGCCCCTCAGTCTAGTCTACTTGCAGCGCCAGCCTAAAAAGAATGGTATACAACTCAAATGTAGAACTCCACATGGGCAGGAGAGAGGTAGGAAGAGGGGTTTAGACATGAATGAGTTTACAACTGAGACCTCCAGGATTGGAGATCAAGGACTCGACCATTTCCCAGCAGCTGCTTGGCAGACTTTCCCTCACACTTAACAGAGCAGAGCTGCATCAAACGTCCATGCCTGGAACATAGCAGTGAAACTGAAAATGGCAAAGGAACTACCCTGATTGGTAGGACTAATCTGCATCTCCTACTGAACTAAGATTAAGGTCAAGTTCCTAGATGGATGGCTGTCTAAATAAAATAGGGATTTTCTTAACAAAAGGGGCATGGATGTCAGGATGGCAGCCAACAGTAGCCAATAAAATAAATTAATAGGTTAGAAGAGAAAAGCCTAAATTGATATTGAAAAAGTAGCTCATAAAATTCAGTATTCCTTTTGTTACAAACCTATTATAGCCTAGGAACGGAGTGGCTACTTCCTTAGACTCATTATGGTACAATGGGAAACAGATATTTGGTTTTTGTTCCAGGTTTCTGGCACACAGCTCCTAAAATCCTTGGAGTGACAAGAGTAGCTTTGATATGCCAATGAGATTATTGGTGGCTGGGGGTTCACAGATAGCTTCAGGATAGGGGGTGGTCCCCAGAAAGACCAAGGCATGATTAGAGGGTTGGAACTTTCAGCCTCACCCCCTGGGAAGTGGAGAGGGGCTGGAGATTGAGTTTAATCATCAGTGGGCTATATAATCGTGCCTATATAATCAACAAAATCTCCTAAATTACATGGTTTGGAAAGCTTCTGAGTTGAACACTCAGGTGGTGCCAAGAGGGTGCTGTACCCCAACTCCATATGGACAGAAGTTCCTGTGCTCAGGACCCTTCTGGATCTCACTCTATGTGCCTCTTCATCTGGCTGTTCATTTGTATCTCTTGTAATAAACTGGTGATAGTAAGTAAAGTATCTTCCTGAGTTCTGTGAGCTGTTCTAGCAAATTACTGACCTTGGGGTGGGTGTAGAAACCTCTGATATATTTTTTTAAAAGATTTATTTATTTGAGAGAGAGAACAGGGGGAGGGGCAAAGGAAGAGGAAGAGAGAGATCTTAAGCAGACTCCCAGCTGGGAGTCTAAATTCATGTCTAAATTCCCTCCACTGATTGCAGAGCCCAATACGGGGTGATCTCACAACCCTGAGATCATGACCTGAGCCAAAATCAAGAGTCAGACACCCAACCGACTGAGCCACCCAGGTGCCCCTGAAACCCCTGATTTACAGCCAGCTAGTCAGAAGTACAAGGGGCAACCTGGGAATAGTGACATGTATCTGAAGTGTGGTCAGCCTTGTGAAACTGAGCCCTTAATCTGTGGGATCTGCATGAATTCCCGGTAGTTAGCATCAAAACTGAGTTGAATTTCAGGACACCCAGTTGTTGTCCAGGGAGTTGGGAGAATTGGCTGGTGTGGGAACAAACTCCCACACATGTGATGTCAATAGTGTTGGGAGAAAAAAACAGCTTCCTGATAAAACAAGAACAAAATAAAATCCTACAAATCTCTTGTAAAAGGATACATCAAGTGTAACACCATTTGCATAAACTTCTTAAATGTACACAGAAATAAAATATATAGTTTGGAGATACACACTTAAAGTCCAAAAATTATTATAATGTAAAATTTCAAGTTAGAGGTTACTTCTAGGGATGAAGAGGAAGGAATGGAGTTGGGACTTGTAGTTGACATGTTAGTTGGAAGTCACACTGTCTTTCTTTCCAAAAGACAAGAGGAAAAAGGAAAAACATCTAAAGCAAGGCAAATAAAATCACTTTACACGCCCAATGGAGAGCCAGTGAGATGCTGGAAGCACGCCTATGAAGCATGGAAATGCGTAAGTACCACCATTCTCATTCATCACTGGTCTTACCATGTCATTAGAGAGAAGAATCAAATAGCAGTGATCAATATGAAAGAAAAGAAAATAAATTAACAACATTTGCACAGTATTACTGTAGACCCAGAAAACTCAAGTAATTGAAATGGACAAGACTCAAAAATAAGAGTTAGTCATGATGAACATAGTAATGTACAAAACTCCTCAAATCACTAAGTTGCACAACTGAAACTAATGTAACATTGTGTGTTAAGTGTACTAAAAAAATTTAGTCAGTGGTTGAAACTGACATGAAAATGACACGTGAAAAATGATAACATTCCTTTACATATATAAATACTATTTGTTGGGATTATTATTATTTTTGGTATAATTGACATACATTAGTTTCAGGTGTACAACGTAACAATTCAGTATCTGTATACATTATGAAATGGTCACCGTAATAAGTCTAGTTAACATTTGTCACCAGTTATAACATTTCAAATATGCAATATATTATTATAGTCACCATTCTGTACATTACATCCCTATGACTTATTGATTCTATAACTGGAAGTTTATGTCTTTTGACCCATTTCACCTACCCCCAAACCTCAGCCTCTAGTACCACCAAACTGTTCACTCTATCTATGAACTCGGTTTTTTCGTTTTGTTTCATTTTTTAAGATTCCCTATATGTAAGTGAGATCATTCAGTATTTGTCTTTCTCTGATTTATTTCACTTGGTATAATGCCCTCAAGGTCCATCCATGTTGTTGCAAATGGCAAAGTTTCCTTCTTTCTTATGGCTGAATAATATTCCATTGTGTGTGTATAAACGACTGAGCCACCCAAGTGCCCCTCCAATATATTTATTTCTAATACATGTCTAAATTCCCTCCACTGATTGCTTTAGTTGAATTAAACAAAAATTGAGATGTAGGATTATTAAAATGCAATTCAAAACATTTCCACTGTAATTTTTTCTGAATCATGGATTATTTAGACATGTATGGTATGCTTACCAAAAATGGGAGATTTTCTAGTTATCATTTTGATATTGCTTTATAAGTTTAATTCCACTGTAGCCAGAGAAAGTATTCTGTATGATTTCAATCCTTTGAAATTTGTTTAGGCTGGCTTTATGGCCCACCATACGCTAAATTTTTTTTTTCCATATGCTAAATTTTTATAACTGTTCTATGTGCATTTGAGAAAAATCATTGGGGGGAGTGTTTTACACTGGTCAAGTTTGTTAATTATGTTATTCTAATTGTTAGGGGTTGGCAGTATAGTGGGTTGGTGACCTGTTTTTGTAAATAATGTTTTCCTGGAACACAGCCATACCCATTTGTTTATGTATTCTCTAGGCTACTTTCATCTTACAATGGCAGAGTTCAGCAGGTGCAGGACAATCTGGCCTGCAGAGCCTAAAATATTTACTCTCTTATTGCTCTTTACAGAAACTTTGCTGACCGCTGTTAAACTATAGCCTTCTAGCTTTTCTTCTCCTTGTTCTCTGTTTCTGAGTGACATATGCTAAGAACCTCCCATTATGACTGGGCATTTGTCATTTCTCCTTGTATCTAGCATACCCTACAATTCAGGAATTCTACTAAGTATATCATGCATCAAAATGCATGTACAAAAATGTTTGTATCAGCATTATTTGTAATAGACACAAGCCAGTAACAACCAAAATGTGTAGTAATAGCGGAATGCATAAATAAATTGGGGTATAATCACACCAAAGAATACAACAATGAAAAAGAATGAACTATTGCTATATGCAAAAAATTAAATGAATTTCACAAAATATTGAGCAAAAGAAACCAGATACAAAAGGATATGTACTCTATGATTCCATTTGTATAAAGTTGTGTTTTTTTTTAAGATTTTATTTATTTGAGAGAGACAGAGAGCGAGCACAAGCAGGGGGAGCAGCAGAAGGAGAGGAAGAAGCAGGCAGGGAGCCCAGCAATGCTGGGCTCAATCCCACGACCCTGAGATCATGACCTAGGCTGAAATCAAGAGTTGGATGCTTAACCAACTGAAGCCACCCAGGTGCCCCTCCATCTGTATAAAGTTAACAGCCAGGCAAATGTGATGTTTTTAGGATAATAATTACCTCTGGGGAGAAGGGAGGAGATTAGGATGAGATGGGGCTCCTAGGGTGCTACAATATCCTATTTTTTCATTTTTAGTGCTATACTTGAAAAATACTCTTAAAGTACAGACCAGTTTCACTTATAAATGTAGAAACAAAAATTTCTTAATTTTATTATGAAAAAGTTCAAGCCAAAGAAGAAGAAACAGTATAATAAAACCCTATGTACAAAGAAAGTGGAGGGGCACCTGGGTGGCTCAGTCGGTTAAGCATCCAACTCCTGATTTCGGCTCAGGTCATGATCTCAGGGTCATGGGACTGAGCCCCACATCAGGCTCCTTACTGGGTGTGGAGCCTGTTTGAGATTCTCTCTCACTCTGTCTCTGCCCACGTGTGGAGAGGAGAGGAGAGGAGGAGAGGAGAGAAAAGAAAGAGAAGTATAATCAAACTCCTCATATTCATTATATGCCTTCAATAATTACCAGCTCAAACCTAATTTTGTATTATCTACATCACCACTCATCTCCCTTCACCACAGGATTATTCTGAAGCAAATCCAAGATATCTTTTTATTTCTAGATGCAAAAATATTAAATAAAATATTAGCAAATGGAACCCAGCCACATATTTAAACAACAAATCACTATGGACAAGTATGGTTTCTTCCAGGAATATAAGACACTGGGAAATCTAGTAATCTATAAATCAAATATTAAATAAAGAGAGAGAAGAAAAATATAAATGAAAGTAATTTTAAAGTTGTTTGAGGGGCTGCATTGTACAGCATGGTGATTACTGTTAAGACTGTATTATATAACTGAAACCTAAGAGAGCAGATCTTAAATGTTTTCACCACATAAAAGAAATGGTAATTATGTGACATGATGCAGGTGTTAGCAAACCTACGGTAGTAATTATTTTCAACATATAAGTGTATTATATCAACACATTGTACACCTTAAATGTTACAGAATGTTATATGTCAATTATATCTCAATAAAGCTGGGGGGAAAATCTTTGAGAAAGAGGAATAAAAACTTGATAAACCATAGTTACCATTTATTCCGACTATACTAGGTGCCAGGCACTACACTTTGTACTTAAAGAATATTTGCTAATTTAATCTTCATAACAACTCTATGAAGTAGGAATTATGACAGCTTTTTTCACCAATAAAGAAATTCAGACATTAACCTACCCAAGTCAGAGGCAGAAGCAGGTTCTTCTTACTCCACAGTTCATACACTTGCCACCTGGCCAAAATTATTTGCAGATAACAAAAATACTCAACTAGAAAATATAAAAGAATCAATGTATAAGCTAGTGGCAGTAACATTAGTAGACTAAGAGGACAAAATAAGTATATCTTTTAAATTTTTGCTTTTGCGCATTATATAAAATTAGAAGAAACAAAAAGTGGGGTCATACTGAAAAAACCCACACCATTTACGATTACAACAGTACAAACTATTCAGGAATAAACATAAACAGGTATGTCTAAAACACGTGTGGAAAATCACCACCACAGGTGGTCAAGTTAACAAAATACTTGTGTTAAAGGAAATCCATCACATGTCCCTTGAAAGTGATGTACCTATACCCACATCAGTTTTACCCAAATTAAAGCACCTGCGCAACAGAACATAACTGCAATAGTTTAAAAAAAAAGAAAAGACGAAAACTTCCAAAGAGTTAGTAACAGGATATCAGATTCAAAATGTGTAAAATTATACCAGTACCTACACAACTGATCCCAACATCAAAACTGAAATACACTAAAATTTAACAAGAGTTATTTTCTGGACTATTTAGGAGTTTGAGCATGTCATTACATGGGTCGGAAATAAAAATGAAAACATATTTTCTGCAAGAATATACAGTAAACAGGGCGCCTGGGTGGCTCAGTTGGTTAAACGACTGCCTTCAGCTCAGGTCATGATCCCGGGTTCCCGATATCGAGTCCCGCATCGGGCTCCTTTGCTCCGCAGGGAGTCTGCTTCTCCCTCTGACCCTCCCCCCTCTTGTGCGCGCTCTCTCTCTTCTCTCAAATAAAAATAAATAAATATCTTAAAAAAAAAAAAAAGAATATACAGTAAACATGGGCGCAAGAGGCCAGAAACCCCATCTTTAAAAGTAAGGATGTGATAAGCATCAACAACGCAACTCCCCAAACGCTGTCCCCAACATCGACACGACTCCTGCTTCCCCCAACCAGACGCCCCATACCGCTACTCTCCCCAAGTTCTCGTCCAACACGGACCCTCACAAGCTCCCCCTCCACAGGGAACGCCCAAGTGATCCTTCAACACAACCCCCTAGCGAGGTTTCCCATTCGCTTCCCCCAACACCTACTCCCACGCGCTGCAGGACAAAACAAAAACACCCCAAAACCCAACGCGCTCTCCCTGGCCCCCAAACACTCCCAGAACCGACAATGACCTGGCGATAACCTCGATCTTCACCGCTGGAGACTTCCCCAAGCACTTTGCCTCAGTGTCTACCGCCCCCGAGTCCCACCTCAGCGACTGACAGGCCCTCAGAAGCGCCGAGGATGGCGGCCGACGAGGGCCAACGTGCGTTGTTCCAGAGACGCGGAATCTGGCGCGAGGCTCGGCCTCTGTGACGTCATATTGCAGCGCCGGCTCCAGGCTGTTTGCCGGGAGCCCCGGTTTCCCCACTTACTGCCCTGCGGGGGGCGTCCTCTCTCTGCGCCTTTCGCGGGAAGGCACTAGACGGTGAGAAGCTATTGAAAACGCTTTATTTCACTTTATTTCCAGGCCACTTTAGCCTTTGGGCTAAAGTGTATATGCACCAGGGGCGGTGCATATACAGCTTAGCGTCTCAGGAACTCAGGCCTGCCCAGATCTCTCCTCAGGACCGGCCGAGGCCGAGATGGTCTGGTTTAAGGAGCTTTCACTTAAAGAACAGGGAGAAGCTAAGTGGGCGCGGCCCGCATAGAAGTTCACCGGAAGGGAATTCGAGCCGAGCCTGAGCAACAGTTGGAAGGGAACAGGCTAGTATCCTGGGAATGCTGGCTGGAGGGGGCTTTGTGGAGAAAGCGGCATTTGCGGCCAGGCTAGGTTTTGGAGAACCGCTGAAAAAGGCATTGGTCAGAGAGTGGGCAAACAGGATTATAAAGCTCTTGGTATGATTCGTGTGGGTGGAAACGGGGCACAAGGCTGATGGGGGTCAACAAGTGGCGGAGCTATTAGGGAAGCGAGGCTCTCCCGCGGTGGGAGGAGTCAAAGACGCGGCAAGCTTTTCTTTTCCCTAAAGATGAAAGATACCTTGAATCAAAAGCACTGAGGGGCCCCTGGCTGGCTCAGTCACTTGATCTTGGGGTGGTTGGGGGGTAGATTGCACTTAAAATTTTTTTTAAATCTTTTTTTTTTTAAAGATTTTATTCATTCATTCGAGAGAGAGAGAATGAGAGATAGCACGAGAGGGAAGAGGGTCAGAGGGAGAAGCAGACTCCCCGCTGAGCAGGGAGCCCGATGCGGGACTCGATCCTGGGACTCCAGGATCATGACCTGCCTGAGCCGAAGGCAGTCGCTTAACCAACTGAGCCACCCAGGCGCCCTAGAATTTTTTTTAAATCTTAAAAAAAAACAAAAAAACAAAACTCTGAGTAAAGGAAGTGGTTCTGTTCAGTATTGCAGCCCAACTGAGCTCCCGGTGCGGGACTCACTCCCCACAGTTACCCAACAAGGCTTAGAGCGCCTTCCAGTTAAAGGGATTATTCATCCATTCTTCATCCGGATGTTTATGAAATGCCTACTATGTGGCAAATACTGTTCTGCATGCTAGGGTAACAAAAGCTATAAATGCAGGCAAAAATACCCTTGGGGGAGCTTACTGGAATGCAGAATGTAAGTAAAATTGCTGGTTTGGATGTAAAGTTGAAAGTGTTTATGATTCCCACCTACAATGTGACCTACAATGCCTGGCAGCCGGACATAACCAAAGATAAGTAACCAAAGATGATGATATTTAAGTCTTAAGATCTAATGGAATTTGCTTTGCTAGGTTTTGACTTTTGAGGGACCCATACCCCTTTCTTCCTCCTAATTTCTCTCTCATGGAATGGGAATGTCTATCCCACACCTGTCCTACCACTGTATTTTGGAAGTGAGTAACTTCTCTAATTTTACAGGTTCATAGCTGGAGAGAAATTTTGCCTCTGGGTAAATTCCACCTGAAGTCTTACCCATATATGATTTAGATGAGACTTGGACTATATAGACTTTAGAGTTGATGCTGGGATGAGTTAAGACCTTGAGGGTTGTTGGAATGGAATGTATTTTTCATGCACAAAGGTCATGAATTTGGGGGGGTTAGGAGTGGAATATTATGGACTGAATGTGTCCCCTCAGATTCACATGTAGAACACCCTAACACCCACCTATATTTGGAGGTGGGACCTCTAAGGAAGTAATTAAAGTTAAATGAGGTCCTAAGGGTGGGGCTCTGATCCCAGTGAGTTCAGTGTCCTTATTGGAAGAGACACCAGAGAGCTCTTTCTCTGTGTAGACAAACTGCGGAAATGCCTTGCGAGGACATGGTGAGAAGGCAGCTAGATGTCTGCAAGCCAGGAACAGTCCTGACCAGAAACCAAATCGGCTGGAAACTTGATTGTGGACTCCTAACCTCTGGAACTGTGAGAAAATGAATTTCTGTTTTTTCAAACACCCACTCTGTGGTATTTTGTTACCATAGCCAAAGCAGTCTAATACAGTGGTGAATTACATTGCTTAGAAAATTAGACAAAATTTAACTTACTTTGCATTCTTTAGGTAAACCCAGCGTAGTCATGAAGTATTTATTTTATATATATATTGCTTATATAAAGAGAATCCTGGGAAACATTTGTGGGATTATGGTGGAAGGAACAAAAATTTGGATCATGCAAATTTAACAATATGGGCTGACCATGAATTGCTTGTGGCTTTAATGTTTGAGCTCAGTTAGAATGGCTCTACAGTTTGCTTGCTTGGTTGACTGAAACTGGACTCAAAGGTGGCCTACGCTAAAGTTTAAGTCAGAAATTTCTTTATATTTTGTAAAGATTCCAAAAGTATATGGAGTTAGGAATGCTAATGTGTAATTATCACGTAAAGCCAGTTTACACATCCACTAAAAATATATCCCAGGAGCATCCAGAAGGTAATTTCTTCAATGAAGCTGATTTGGCTACAGAAAATATGAAGTATATAAGATTCTGGTATTATACATGAAAAGGTATAATAACTTGAAGATACACTGCTAAGTAAATGATGCATGCTATAAACTCTAAAGGAACCACGTAAATAACAAAGTTACGCCTAATAAGCCAACAATGGAGATAATCATAAAACATAGTTACTCCAGGGGCACCTGGGTGGCTCAGTTGGTTGAGCATCTGACTCTTGATTTTGGCTCAAATCATGATTTCAGGGTCCTGGGATCGAGCCCTGCGTTGGGCTCCCCACTCAGTGGGGAGTGTCTCCCTCATCCTTGCCCCTCCACCCCGAAATAAATAAATCTTAAAAACAAAACGTAGTTACTCCAAAAGAAGGTAGAAAATGACAAAAAGGGGAGCAAAACCAGATGGGGTAAATAACAAATTACACATTATTAATTTGAACCTAACCACATTAATTATGATCTAAATACTCCAGTAAAAAGAGATCATCAGTCAGATAAAAAAGGTCCAGCTACATGCCGCCTACCAGAAACTCTATTTTTTAAAGATTTTATTTATTTATTTGACAGAGTACAAGCGGGAGGAGTGGGAGGAAGAGGGAGGGGGAGAAGCAGGTTCCCCACTGAGCAAGGAGCCCAATGCGGGGCTCAGTCCCATAACCCTAAGATCATGACCTGAGCAGAAGTCAGATGCTTAACCGACTGAGCCACGCAGGCACCCCTAGAAACTCACTTTAAATATTAGGTTAAAAGTAGACCATGTTGGGGTGCCTGGCTGTCTCAGTTGGGGCTGTGAGTTCAAGCCCCACGTTAGATGTAGATATTACTTAAATAAAAACTAAGTCATATTAAATAGAGATATGAAAGCTATAAAAAGAAAGGCCCAATTCAGATTTCTAGAGATAAAAACTACAACTTCTGCAGTAAAACATACATTTGATGGGATTAATAGATATCGTATAAGAAAAAATTAGTGAACTTAAAAGACACAGCAATAGAAACTATCCAAAATGAAAAACAGGTCAGGGTGGGTGGCGAGTCTAAAATCCAGGAACAGTATTTTAACCTATTTGTGTATGCAAAAGATCAGTGAATTTTATAACAAGGCAAAGAAACTCAAGTACAAATTCAACACAATGAGAACAAAAGCTTTTTTAAAAAGAGAAAAAATGCTTAGAGAACCTGAACTTAAAAAAGAAAAGCCTTGAGTTCTTGGCCAGGGGGGTAAAAGGTACCATTGTGAGGAATGCCTAGTGGAAACTGCTAACCGCCCTCCACTCTCTGATCAAGATAGCAAATAAACAACAATATTCTGGGAGGGTTTATAAAATATGAAGTAAAACATATCTTATAAATCCAACACTTTGTCATTAACATGTTAACCATTCCTCTATGATTTTGATCTAATGGAATACAGCTATAACTATTTATACAGTTACTATGTCCTTGTGTGCTCAATCTAGCATTTTTGTCAGTTTTAGTCACTTCTGATTGGTTTCTTTCAACACTGGTCACATTTTCCTGCCCAATAAGTTTTGGTTGGATGACAAACATCCAACCAAACTTTGGTTGCAGGAGTGGGGAGAGCAGGGGAGATCAGGATATTTTTGCACTCCTATATTCTTAAAGCTTGTTTTGGGATACATTGAGGTTACTTGAAACAGTTTGGTCCTCTCTGGCCCTGTTTAATTATTGAGTTAGTTAATTTTTTCCTGGCCCTGCTTTAAATCTTAGTTAAGACCAGATTGCTTACTGAATGAGATTCAGTCAATTAACAGTATTTATCAAGTGCCTACTCTATATCACATATTCTTCTAGACCTCTTGTATATAGGGGTTAACAGAAGTTCCCTCCCTCAGGAAGCTTAGTCTAACTTTTACAGTGTATAACCTACATTCAAGACCTTATACTTGAGCATAAACATATGAAGTTGATATTGTAATATGCTTTGTTTTGAAATTGATACAGTAATGTTTATACATGACCCAAGGTCTTTATATTCCATATCAAAATCTTTAAGAAAACAATTGAGATGTTCTCTCCAAGTGATTCTAGTGGTATTTATGTCACTGATTTTAAAAAATCACCTGTCTAAATGCCATTAAAATACCTCATCTACTGACAGGCCTCTACTTTAGTTTCTCTCTGAGACCTAATCTGAAGCCCTTTTTCAGATCACAGTTTTTCAGCAGGGGATGTGGTCTGAACCTCTTCCTGTATCAGTTTTATGCCAGCCCCTATCATTACCCCTGACTACATTCAATTAATTATACACATCAGGGGTGCCTGGGTGACTCAGTTGGTTGAGCGTCCAACTTTTGATCTCAGGGTCCTGAGTTCAAGCCCCATGCTGGCATGGAGCCTACTTTAAAAAAAATATTACACATACTAGATTCTGAAAATATTTTCCAAGCTGATTATAGGCCACTAGTATTCCAGTCCAGCACTAGATTCAGCCTACTCCAGGTCCAGTTCAAAGTCTCTCTGGCTTCGTAGAATACACCAGGCCAGGGTTGATTCTATGAAGATCTACTTTTCTCTTCCTTATGTGTGTAGGACTCAGAGTCCCTCTGAGTTGAGAGAAAATGAGAACAGATGCCAGGAAGAATGTCAGGGTGATTCCATCACTGAGGCAAAAGGTAGGTTTAGACAGGGTCCTACCTCCCGGGGAAGAGTACAACAGGATAGTTATCTTTGAGTTTAGAACTTCAGATTCCCAGCATTCTGAGAATAATAATTTTAATGATCCAGGAAGGAGAGCTAGGATGGAAGTAGTCATCCTAATTTGTATTCAAATTGCCTACCTTACTTTTTCATGTTTTCAAAAAAAATTACCAAGAGTTGTGTTGGAATATATTCGTTATTTATTGTATAGGTTTAAATTACTAATTGTGGGCGCCTGGGTGGCTCAGTTGGTTAAGCGACTGCCTTCGGCTCAGGTCATGATCCTGTAGTCCTGGGATCGAGTCCTGCATCGGGCTCCCTGCTCAGCAGGGAGTCTGCTTCTCCCTCTGACCCTCTCCCCTCTCATGTTCTCTATCTCATTCTCTCTCGCAAATAAATAAATAAAATCTTAAAAAATAAATAAATAAATAAAAATAAATTACTAATTGTCCTTGGGCGTTTAGTTCATTTTGCAAATGTGGTTTCTCTACCTTTTCAAGTCTAAAAAATTTAAAAAATCACTTTTATGAAGACATTGTATAATGCTTGGTCTTATTTTTAAATTCAATTTAAATTCATTCAAGGACATTAGCATTTTTTATATATTCATGAGTTTAATATATTCATTTCATTTTTGAAGGACTTGCCTGAAGTAATACTTAAATCTAGAGCCAAAGAAATGCAACAGCTAACCATCATATGATACTGGGTAGGAACTGAATATAATTTTAGAAAAAGAATCCACAAATGGGAAAAGTGAATATAATGTGGTAATGTTAACCAGTGATGTAGGGCAGAGACTATCTCCTCTAAATTATAGAATCATTAACATGGTAACTGGGGATGTGGTTCAAGGTATCCTGTCTGAAAATGCCCATCAGGTGTATCACGTGATGTACAGGTCAAGTTGGAAAAGGTACATAAAGCTCTCAAACATTCCTCCTTTTCACAAGCCTTCTTTGCTTCACAAGAACTTTAGTATTTTGTTAAAGGTATTCCACAATTAACGGATTAACAGCGTTTTCTCTGTGATTTCATCTGCTAATGGATGAGGCAGAATGTACCACTGAAAACTCTGCCACATTCACTGCCTTCTAACAGTTTCTCCCCAGTATGAACTGACACATATTGAGGGTAAGGACTTTTCCACTATCATACTTCTACTTACTATAAGCTCACTGATGATCTGTGGGGATCACTGATGACCGGCAGGGTCTGTCTTCCAAAAAACAGCTTTCCTAGCCTCTGCACTCAGGTTTTCTGTTTATATATAACCATATAATCAGCTAGACATTATTACTCAAGGCTTTTTCAAATTGAATGTACCAGTTTTTTCCTATGTGTTTTTTGTGACATAAAATAAGGTGTAATTGACCACTGAAGGCACGACCACATTCACTGCATTCATAAGGCTTCTTTCTTGTACATACTCTCCGTTATTTCCTGAGGGTGCACATCTGACAACTGGTTGTCCCACTATGACTGCGTTCCTATCTGTGAGGAGCCCACTGATGTTTGTTGAGGTCTGAGGGATCATAGAAGGCAGCTGCACAGTCACCATATTAACAGGGCTTTTCTCCTGCATGAATTCACTAGTATTTAATAAGCTGTGACCCTCTGTGGAAGAATATTCAACCTTCACTGAATTTATGTGTTTCTCTTTTGTGTGTATTCTCTTATGTTTAAGAAGGCATGACATGTGGGAGAAAGCTTTCCTACACTCAGTGCATGCATAGGGTCTCTCCTGTATGAGTTCTTTGATGGACAGTGAGCATTGTCTTTGTAGTGAAGGCTTTCCCACGGTCACTGCATTTACAGGGTTTCTCTCCTGTGTGAATTCTCTGATGTTTAATGAGTCCTGATTTCTGTGAACAAGATTTTCCACATTCAGTACATACAAAGGGAGTCTTCCTGTATGAAATCACTGATGTGCTATGAGGCACGCCTTCTGGCTGAAGGCCTTACCACATTCAGTGCATCCATAGGGTTTCTCTCCAGTGTGTGTTCGCTGATGTATAACGAGATTGCCCTTCTGAATGAAACCTTTTCCACATTCACTGCATATATAAGATTTCTCTCTTGTATGGGTTTTCTGATGTAGAATGAGTTGTGATGTTCTGGAGAAACCTTTTCCACATTCATTGCATTGATGGGGCCTTTCTCCTCTTTCATTTCTCTGATGTATAATGAGCTCTGCCTTCCTGCAGAAGGCTTTGCCACATTCAGTACATTCATAAGGTTTCTCTCCTGTATGAGTTCTCTGGTGTTCAGTTAGCTTGAACTTTCTGGAGAATGCCTTCCCACATACACTGCATCCATGCGGTTTATTTCCTGTATGAGTCTTCTGATGTTCAGTAAGCTGAAATTTCCTGAGGAAGGTTTTCCCACACTCACAGCACTCATAGGGTTTCTCTCCTTTGTGAGTTCGCTGATGTTCAATGAGCTTAAATTCCTTGGAAAAGGTTCTCCCACATACACTACAGCCATGGGGTTTCTTTCCTGTATGAATTCTCTTATGTTTGGTGAGCCTTCTTGACAAAGGCTTTCCCACATTCAGTACATTTGTGGGCTTTCTCTGTTTTGTGTGTTTGATGATGTTTAATGAATTGTAACAGTGCTGATGGGTCTTCTACTTTCATGGAATTTAATTTCAGTATGAGTTTGCTTGTGATTAGCACAGAGAAAGGATCTTCCATCTCCACTCTGCTCAGCAGCCTCTTTTATGTCACAGCTTCTACTTCGGTTGATTAAATCTAAGTGTGGCTTCAAAGTTTTTCCATGTAAATTAAACCTATCATGATTTGGCCTGAAAGGAAAATGACTTTTGCTTTGATGAACAATATTTCCACATTATGTTCCGTTCATAACACTGTTCTATCCTCTTTGGCACTTTTGGGTTTTCTAAGTGCTGAGGCAGATGATAACTTTCTGAATTTCTAGGAAAGAAGAGAACGGTGAATCCTGTGACCATGATATAGAATAAAACTGCTCCAAAAATACCGTTGGGAGGGGGGCGCTTGGGTGGCACAGTTGGTTGAGCATCCAACTCTTGGTTTCAGCTCAGGTAGTGATCTCAGGGCTGTGAGTTCGAGCCCTATGTCGGGCTCCACGCTGAGTGTGGAGTTTGCTTAAGACCCTCTCTCCCTGGGGCGCCTGGGTGGCTCAGTTGGTTAAGAGTCCGACTCTTGATTTTGGCTCAGGTCATGATCTCAGGGTTATGAGATCAAGCCCCTCATTGGGCTCTGCGCTCAGTGGGGAGTCAGCTTCTCTCTCCCTCTCCCCGTCCCCCCACCATGCACACATGCTGTCTCTCTAAGATAAATAAATCTTTAAAAAAAGGAAAAAGACTATCTCTCCTTCTGCCCTGCTCTCCCACTCTTGCTCTCTTGTGTGCTCTCTCTCTCTCAAATAAATAAATCTTAAAAAAAAAATTTTGTGGGATGGCTGGCTCTTTAGTGGAAAACCTATGATATCAACCTAAAAGAAATTCCAAGTATATCCTTATATATATTCCTTATCTCTTAAAAAAAAAAAAACTTTCAGGGGCGCCTGGGTGGCTTAGTTGGTTAAGCATCCACCTCCTGATTTTGGCTCAGGTCATGATCTCAGAGTTGTAAGACTGAGCTCCACATTTTGATCTGCTTTGAACATGGGGCCTGCTTAAAATTCTCTCTCTCCCTACCCCCCTCTCCTCTCTCTCCCTCCCTAAATAAATAAATAAATAAATAAATAAAAATAGTTTAAAAAAACTTTTAGAATTGTAGTTAAATACACATAAGATAAAATTTACCATTTTAACCATTTTTAAGTGTACAGTTCTGTGTCATTAAGTACATTCACATTGTGGTGCAGCCATCACCACTATTCATCTCTAGAACATTTTCATCTTGCCCAACTGAAAAACACTGTACTTGTTAAACACTAGCTTCTTATCTGTTGGAAACGTTTAAAAATTGGTACTCTTTAAACACTAACTCCTTATCTGTTAGAAATGTTTAAAAACACAATAATATAAAACACAAATCAAAAGATGACAGCTATCAGTGTAAAACAGGGTGAATTCACAACGAATCAAGATTTGTCTGCTTTATAAGTAGGACCCTGGGGACAGTAAAATACAAGGAAGTCACCAGCAGCATCAGATCACAGAGGCTGGAGGGGTACCTGATTCAAAATGGTGACACTCACAGTTCACTCATTCAATACATCCTTCTTAAGTGGCTACTACCGTATACCAGGCATGGTGCTAGTGTTAGAGAAACACAAAAATACTTTTTATTTTCACTGAAGTCATATTCTAGGGGTGGAAAGCGAAACAGAAAAAACACGCACGATAAAGAATAAAGTAGGCAGTTGGAAATGCAACCCTGGTTTGAGGAAGCAAAGGAAATGAAAATGCGAAGAAATCTGGATGTATTTTGAAGGATGGCTGTAGAAAAACATTTCTGTGTTTCCCACTAATTTCGATCTCTTTTACTATGTGTTAGGACTGCAGTTCATCAGCTAGGGTCACAATAGCACTCTTGGGGAACTTTGCATAAAGACATACCCAGGCCCTCAACCCAATTCTAATAAAACCAGACTTTCCGAGGAAGCAACGTTGGTAAGATTATATTGAAAATCCCTTCAATAAAAACCTCGCATTTAAGAAATGCTTGACAGATAGATGGAAAAGTATGGTCTCTCCCCAACCTAGCTATACAGTCGTTTGATGAAGAAATAAATGGAAGACCAAGGTGGATTTTCTTCTTGCACAAGGAGGAATGAAAAACAGGCCCTTGACTCAAGAGTGGGACTCAGGTATCTTCACATCATACAGTTACAGTATCTTTAGGAGTGGCTTGTGTGACTGGTGCACAAAGTACAATAGGAATTCAGAGAAGATAATATATTTTGTGTAGCATAAACCATCTCATGGAAAGAATTCAAGGTGAAAGAATACTTACTGTTTGAGTGGTAAGAACTTATCCCTGAGTTCTTACCTTACTTGATGAATCAGCAACTCTCAAGACAATGTTTATGGCTTTGTCTTTCAAGAAACACTTGCTCATCACATGCTCTCTCACCACATTTGTTACACACTCATCTGTTGATCCCTAATTGTCCAAGGCTCTTGTTTTCTTTATCTGGATCTATTCCCCAGAAGATCTCATCTGGTCCAGATTTCTATCTCCACACCTAACCTCTCCCTGAACTTTCCAGGTACATCAGACTGTAGCAGAGAGCTCTGCTTGGACACTAACAAGCACATCTAACTTAGAATCTCCATTATAGAACTCCTGACTTCCCAGCCCAAATCTCCACATATCTTCCCTGTCACGTGAATGACAACTCCACTCATGCCAAAAATTCTTAGCATCATCATTCATCTGTTTCTTTTTCTTACTCCATGTTATGGACTGAATGTTGTTCCCCAAGGAGATATAGTCAATTGCTCACCCCCTGGTACCTGTGAATGTGACCTTTTTTGGAAATAGTCTGCAAATATAATGAAGTTAAGATGAGGTCATACTGGGTTAGGCTGGGCCAATGACTGGTATCTTTATAGGGAAAGGGCGATTTGGACACAAAGAAATATGCACAGAAATGACCATATGATGACAGATGCAAAGATTGGAAAGATGTTTCTACAAGTCAAGGAAGGCCAAGAATTTCCAGCAGCCACCAGAAACTAGAAAGAGGCAAGAAAAGATTCCTGTCTCAACTCTGGAGGAAACGTGACCTTGATTTATGACTTTTAGCATCTAGAACTATGAAAGAATAAATTTCTGTTGTTTTAAGCCACCCAGTTTGTAATATTTGTTAAGCAGCCATAAGAAACTAACGTACCTGATACCTACTTCAATGGCAAATTCAATCAGCCACTTTATATAGCCAGAGTCTTCCAGTACCCCTTAAGCCTAGTGAAGTCACCAACAACCAGGTCTCCTATCTGGCTTTTTGCTTCAACTCCTGCCCTATTCCAGGATAGGATTGACTATACCCACAGTCAAAGTGATACTTCTAAAATATAAATTATATTGTCACTTCTTTAAACTTCCTAATGTCACCAGTGACCAGGTCTCCTATCTGGCTTTTTGCTTCAACTCCAGCCCTATTCCAGGATAGGATTTGACTATACCCATAGTCAAAGTGACACTTCTAAAATATAAGTTATATTGTCACTGCTTTAAACTTTATAAACTTCTGGGGCACCTGGGTGGCTCAGTCATCAACCGTCTGCCTTCGGCTCAGGTCATGATCCCCGGGTCCTGCGATCGAGCCCCGCATCAGGCTCCCTGCTCGGCAGGAAGCCTGCTTCTCCCTCTCCCACTCCCCCTGTTTGTGTTCCCTCTCTCGCTGTCTCTCTCTGTCAAATAAATAAATAAAATCTTTAAAAAATAAAAATAAAAAAAACTTTAAACTTCCTAATGTTTCCTTACCTCACCAGGAGTAAAATCAAGTCCTTGAAATGGACTATAAGGCCCTACGTGACCAACCAACTTATCACTACTACTCCATTGACTTCATCTCCAGTAATTGTCCCTTTTGTTTACTCCTACCCTATCCACACAGGTTTCCTTGATGTTCCTCAAACACATTCTTGCCTCTAGCTCTGCACTTCCCATTCTCTTCATTTTATATCCAGGAAATCTACTCATGTTACTCATCCTCTGCTCATAGGTATCTTCTATTATACAGATTCCTAGTCATAAAAGGGCAGGCCCCAACCCCACCCACTGTTCCAGTATGCCAGTGGATTGGTGTTCAGAGCCCTTTTCACCACTAGACACAGTTTCTATGTATTTTTGCCATATTTTAAATTGTGACAAAATACACATAACATAAAATTTATCATCTTAACCACTCTGAGTTTACAGTTTAATGGTATTAAATATATTCATAATGTTACGCAACCATCATAACTATCTCCATAACTCTTCATCTTATAAAACTCAAACTCTGCATATTTGTTTTTGTTATATTTATGCCTCCTCCTTTTTGAGAGTAGAGACTTAGGTCTTCGAAAGAAGTGAAATTTGTGTCATGGATAGTAATATGGTCAACTGGGACTTAATGTTATCAGTCTACGGGGAGAAAAAGGAAAGCTTTAGGAACAAGAATCCATCAACAAAATCTAACTTGAACTAAGAAAGATTAGAATTAACAAATATACAAAGGAATTACAATAAAGCAGACATGAGGCTTTAGGGTAGGAACTGAGAATGAGAAATTATATAAAGGTCTTTCCTAATTAAAGAAGAGGAATAGCAGACACCTTAAATACCCCAGAGAGTAGAGAAGCCTCAAGGTAATCCCAGCATGGCCAGGATTTAAGATGTATAAAAGTAAAAGAGAATCTCAATTTTCAAAAAGATGATGGGGCACCTGGGTAGCTGTGCTGGCTTCAGCTCAGGTCTGATCTTGGGGTTGTGAGATCAAGCCCTGTGTTGGGCTCTGTGCTTAGTACAGAGTCTGCTTGGGTTTCTCTCTCTCCCCTCTGCCCCTCCCCTGGCTCACTCGTGCTCTCACTCTCTCTGGAATAAATAAATCTTAAAAAAAAAAAAAAATGATGAAGCTGGAAACTAATATGTCAATTATACC